AAAAGTCCCGTCAAATTAATACAGTCATCATTTTTGGGTTACCCGTTCATAAAGACGAGAGTTTGTAGGGGAGGTAAAATGAGCTCATAAATAAAGGGTAACGTTATATTCTCACTGACACGTATATTGCCTGATCATTAAGGATGCAAAACTGTTTTGTTGGGTGCTCCATCCCGTCCTGTGCTTGTCCCTTCTGTGGAAGATAGAGACGTATGGGGCCACGGGTCTACTGCTGATTTGTGGTGGGGTAAGCGACCCGGGAAATCTCGCTTTTTGACGTTTTGAACGTGATCAAGTACGACAGCCAACACTGAGCGTTGAGTCAAAGAAAGACACAAATTGATTTCAAATGTGAAGAAGTCTACATTTTTTCCCATTTTCAATTAGTGGGCCACTTAAAATGGGGATTTGTGAATTCCTTCACATCAACAACGTTTGTCAACCAAGCCATATAAAAGTTCTCTCGGATTAGGATATATCTTACTTCCGTGGGGCTACGTTTATGCCCCTCTGACCCACACAGATCCCAGCCGAGATCTAGAGATTTACCGGGCACCTGTTGATTTATCATAATTACTGTTGTTATATCGTGAGTATATTTAGACAGATATATTGAAATACACACGTGTTATCACCAGTCTGTCTAGCAGAGTTTTAATTAAAAAAAAATTAATATCTATAGATATAGTTTACTTCTACAGCCTGACGCTGTTATGACATTAAAATATACATTATTAACTGAGAGTGTGTCTTCTCTGTATTAATGTAGAAACGGTAATACTGAAAAATTGTATTAATTTTCTCTGTGCACAACATTATCGAAATTTAAATGTCGAATATAATACGTATTTCTAAACCCCTACTTCCACATTTTTTTAATCTCAAGACGAAAATCAATGCCTAAAAATAGTCTTTCATAATAAGAATTATCTTTAAAAATATCTTACCTATGAAAATATTTACTTCGTTTTCTGATTAAAGATCTATATATATTTATGTTATTTTACTTATTTGTTTATCTTTATTATCATCATTTCTATAGGACCCAACAAATGTTTACATTTTCACACATAATATAAATTTGAAAAAAGTTAGGAATTATGTACGTAAACTTCATGTGCAAAATTTTAGACCTGCTTAAAATATGGAATTACATGTGACTGGGTTTATGAACTCGTACACAAATCGATAGGCAATGTACATATAACATTACACATGTAGTACCGACGCCCCGGGGTCTCTAGATTTTGTAGAAATGATAGTTGTTGGGATTAACAATCCACTTAAAATAAACATACATTAAATATTTAACCTGTCACGTGTGTTTGTTTTTTGTAATACTTAGCATTATTTACTTTAAAGAATTCATATAATTGTTACGACATCACAAAATATTTGAAGAGAATATTTACGAAACATTTCAATCAAACATATTCTACAATATTTTGGAAGGCACTGGAATATAGATTTATTAAAGATATTTGTATTTCTGATGAAATGAAACAAAGAGAATTGTTTTGAGATTTAACAAACTTTGTATACAGAAAATAATAGAATATAAGATAGATAAATCCGTGTCATCAACACTATACTTTATTGTAGTTGGTGAGACTAAAATATCATTCTGACATCCGATTCGAATCAGATTCAAAAGCTGCTGACAATTTGATTGATGTATAAACCTACGTTTGTGTGTGTATTTTTATTTCTTTGTCTTTTTCCAAGTCAATATTCCGATCTGTTTTGATAAGGTACTAATAAACAACTTCCAAATAAGTGCAACCCATATCGGGACATCACACCAGAAACAAGATATCTCAAATATAGGAACATTGTCAATACCCGAAATTATAGATTTACTATTGTTACGCAATATTGGAAGTTGTCAATATCCGAAATTATAGATTTACTGTGGTTACGCAATATTGGGAAGTTGTCAATATCCGAAATTATATAGATATACAATTATTCTGCGATGGAGGGAGATTGTCAATATTCCAAATTATATATCTACTTTTGTTCTGTAGTTGAGTAAAGTCCACAATATTTGACTTTATTTGTATACCATCCTTCTGTGTTAAAGTAAAGAGAGTTTTCAATATCCAAAATTATAGGCCTACTGTCGTTCTGAACTCACCAATGAAAGGATTTTGGAGCGACAAACGATCTATTTCTCTGACTGTGTTTATAATAAAAATACTATATCATAAATTACCCTTTCTGAAAATACTATTTATGTTGGTGGAGATATCCCCGTGGTTTTACGACAGTCCCAACGTTTTTCTTATTACCAAACAGTGTAGTAGACATAGGGAAGAGAAATTGAACATGGTCTACCCATTAAAACTCTGTGGGTCCCCCTCCCTACTGTCGCCATCAGGGTCTCACTCCCAACCCTATCTCCACAGGGCCCCTCCCCACCAGAAATTGAGATGGACATTCGGGATTTTAGAGTGGTCAAGCTTATCGCTGATTCTCACAGTCCTCTTGGTCATAATTGCATATGCTGTTCCAGCTGACCAGCTGAGAGAAATATTTGCCGAGCTGCCCCTCCCGTCGGGGATTCTACGGGGTCTCGGTAGGTAGGTTTTATCAGCTAATTTTCGGGGATTTTATAGAATAACTTATACTTAGAGTGATGCTATGTAGTGGCTGAGAGCTACATGGATACTAATCCTGGGGATTAGCATGTTCTTTTAAAATATTTCTCAGATAGCTATCTACATCACTGCCGCGAACATTTGCAAACTTTATCGTTAAGTTACTTTTAATACTAATATATAAAAATGTAATTTCCGATTAATTATTTGACTGTCATATAGATAGTATTTTAACAGGATCTCCGAATTTTCTGCGATAACGATGACCATTTAGGATTGTGACACCTGTTGTATTTTGACACCTTCGATATGGTATTATATACTTACACAAAAACAATATAAACATGTATTGATTCTACAGTAAACAAATGATGACGTGTTTATTTTTATCTTTATCTAACTATTCAATTTTGATGGTTATATTACATGTGAATCGGTAAATTTACAATATGCTTTGTAATCCGATTTCATTTACCACAGATTCGGAAAGTTCAAAATACAACAAAATGAAAACTAATAAATAAAATATCGTGTCAATATAATTAAGGACACGTGACATCAGCCGGATATATTAAAACACGTGACCACACAATACACATATGTAATTCAGCACGCGCCGTGACGTGTAAACATCCGATATAACGGTGTCCATTCAAGTTATTGGCCTGTTATCTTAAATCATCTTAATATATATGTATTTATCCAGTCACTTCGTTAAGAAAAAATATATTTAATTTTCTTTAACTGAAAGATTCAACATCGAATATGCTGAAAGTGAGAAAAATATCTTAAATTTAATCTATATGGATATAAAAGTTTATGTACTGTCTGTTGTTATAATGATATCGTACAGTGGTAGCCCACCAGCGTTTTATTAATCGAGTGTTTTAAGATAAAAACCGTGTAGTCTAACTAGACATCGCACATTTACATGTCTCAGGTTCATAAATTAAAGGACTTACATATTTAAGCCCGTAATAAATACATAATCTACATGAGCTGATCAAGGAGTCTCCGAACTCTTATCCAAGTTTTAAAACATTCCTAAACCTAGGAAACTTCATAAGCTGATGTTAGTCCATAGGATAATTTTATTGGCGTGAGAGGGAGATTTTTAAAATGAAAATATGATTATAGTTTCTTCCAGTGTTGGAACATTCTTGAAACTAGAGCAACATTGTATGGTTCTGAAGAAATCTATTATTAAAATGATAAGGAAACTGAATGAAACGATATTTCGTTTAAAAAATACGTATAAATGGAGGTTATAAAATCTCAAACTAAAAGTAGGCAGCGGAAAATAATTTTACATTCAGATGTACTTTTATGTTCTGGGTTTTTTTCATATTATTTAGATTTCTAAATAGGTCATAATTGTTTCGGGTATTTATCACGATAACTGTGCACTATTCTTGCAATTAACGCGCACTATGTTTATCATAACTTTATTTCAATATCTCAAACTTTAGCACTAAAAGTACATTGCCGATAGAAGTATATTCGTAGTTTTGTTAAAGTTTGTCTACAATTTTTTTTACAATTTATCATGATTTCTTGATGGTTAAAGGAAACAGCTCGGGACGTATCCCGCGGGTTAGTTCGGAGTCATTATCATTTGCCAGTATCAACACCAGATAGAGCTGCCCGAAGCTTGACTTTTTTCCATGATAAAGTCCACGATTCTCTCCTCGAATGAGAATTTAGAATTCCGACTCAGGGGTCAAAGCAAAATCGTGAAATGTCATTGCAACTGAATTTTTTGAGAGAAAACAGTAGATAAAAAAGTGAGTAAAAATAATACCACGATTATACAGTCATATAAACACCTATCGCACGGAATTTTATTATCCGAAGTAAATAAGAAAAAAAATTGGACAGATTTCGAACAACAGGAAAAAAATTAATAACAAAGTTAAAATTCCAAAGAATTCTTTTCTGATCTTAGGTCACAGTAAGACCGGCCTAGAAATATCTCGTGAAATGGTCGTGCTGTTTTAGTGTAGCGCGATGGTAGAACATCAGGTTTATGGTATATTGTGTCACATATTCTGAATGTCTTCAAGTAACAGATAAGCGCAAACAGAAAAATAGATTACATGGGTTTAAAAGTTTCCCTGCGGTCACGGAAATATAAAGATAAAGTCGAGAGATTTACTTATCATACGTTTCCGAGAAATAAATAAGTTTTGTACTTGTATCAAATATCAGGATTTTTTAATATTTACTTTTTGAGATTGTGAGCTTAGCTGTATTTCAAAAATAATTCTCTAGCAAATAATTTCTAAACAGTGAGATGCATTTATGTGTTGGTGCAAGTAAATGTTTTGTAGAACAGGAATGTTTCGGATTTTCTAATGAATAAGTATATATAAATGTCTATGTATAATTGTGAATACATACCGTGTGTTCTTTATGTTTTTTCTCTTCAGGCGTTGATTTTTTGTCGGTTTTCTTTACAAGTTCAGCTTTGAATCCATCCTCAGTGAGCTGAGGGTCGTCTTTTTCCAACACATCCATCAGATATGATATATAACTAGTTGCCAGTCTTAACGTTTTAATTTTGGATAATTTTGTGTCCGACGGAACATTGGGTATACAACCCCGTAATGTCGCGAAAGCGGAATTGATAGACAGTGTCCTTCGTCTCTCCTTTTTGTTGGCTGAGGTCCTTCTCTTAATACACCTTTCTATTGGAACTCCATCACTAGTGTACCTGATAGTGTCCGATACATAGTGTCCCATTACGTGGAAATCCGTAGGGGAAGGAGTACACATCCCGTACGACTCCGGAGACATTTGTACATCCGGGTGATGTCCATTTAGTACCCAGTTCTGGAAATAGGTAGCATCCGCACAGTGATCGGAATACCTCGGCATTTGAGGGTACTGGTATAAGTCGTGTCCCGTGGGTCCCGGGTGGGGATACCCTTGGTGGGAATACCCAGTCACACTCAAACTCATCCTGTCGGTCTCTTCCGCGAAACCACCAAAGATACTTATTTTGTAAGTGATAACTAACTATCCCAAATTCTTATAAACAGTAGCCTTTCGTTTGAGATATGTCTCTGATTACCAAGTCGGTCATGAGTAAAGAAAATTGAGATTTAAAAAAAAACTTATAATGATATTAAGTTTGCCAAGTACTTCACCAGATGTATATTCTCAGAGTTCCAATGACTTTGTCTCAACAACTCGAGTGATCCTCCATCCACAATCCCGCTATTTACCTCCTACAAAAGCTCTACACTCTATACCCACAGCCAATCAGAAGTCAGTATCGCCCTAGGATGTTGTTATCTCTGACGTTTGGAGATGTCACGGTTGATGACTGGCCCCGCCCACTTTATGGGATCGCCGTGTGTGGGGTACAAGACCATCACAATAAAATTGTAATATCTTACAATGCCATTTGTCGACGATGTTAATTTCATAAAACATTAATTCCAAAATTATCGTAAATCGTTACTAATTTGATTTTCAGTTTTAAAAGATCAAAATGGCACACTTTAGTCACGTTTTTGAAATCATTCATAATTTCGACGAGTTTATGAAAAGGGGCGTGTCGAAAGAGAAACATGCACCAAGTGATTTCTGTTATTTATAAGAAAAAATACATTTCAGTCAGTCAATGGTAATTTAACAAATATACATATATATATATATGGTAAACACATGAATTTCTTTATAGAGAAAAATAGAAAATATAGATCGTTGGGTTTACAGGAATATAATGGCTAAATACGACAAACTATTTCAAATATTTTCCTCGTTTGGACTGAATTGGCTCCAGGACAAAACTGGTCCCTGTTTCCCAGATGGTCCGTTGATGGTTGTCAGAATTTACTATAACCATGATTTGGTGTGCTTTTATCAATGGGAGTTAGTAGGTGTCATTGACTCGTTGCCAGTGGAGAATGCACGGGCTTGACGGAGCACGTGATAAGGGACATATTTGATACCTTTTCACGTGCACACACGAGCGAACACATACCATGTTCTCAGATAACACGAAACGTAAACTCGAATATATGTTGATATATATTAATATAGATAATAATGAATTGTTTCTACTTCCTTTATGATAATTAATTATGATATGATTCATAGCCTAATCAATGACTTGGCTACTGTAAAACAATAGCTGTTTGATTTCATGTCACAAAGTAATTCATTTCCATGTGATGTTAACACTGCATCACGCTATCAAAACATTCTAATCCAGTGTTAATGTGAAAAAAAAAAATCGTTACACATTATTTAAATTGAAATGAAGGATCAAAACAGGTATATATTACTTGAACACACACATTACAGTGAGTTAATTAATCAGTATTGTGCACGCCGGAGTATTGACGTGCCCTCGATTACTGACACACGGACCCAAACCAAGTATCATTTTATCTTTCTTGTACATGTATATTTGTATCATTAAGTTAATTTGATGTGATTTACTGAGATTCAAAATTTGATTGAGAACGCATACATACATACATACATGCACATAGTTACAGGACACTTTCCAGAATTAGTTGAAATTACTGTATATATTCATGATGAAAATTACATGGATGACCTCTCTCAGAATTCCTGTATAACAATTTTATCATGTCCGTATGAATAATTTCAAAATTCACATATTTGTGCATTTCTTATTTATTTTTTTTCCATTCTAAACTATTCCGAGTTTACTCAACGATAAAAAAAATATAAAATTTACAATAATAAACAGCACTGATGCGTCACTCTGTCCTGTTCCCAAGGGGATTCATTTATAGCAATATGTTTCATTTTAAGCTTTAACAGGGGCAGCTATTCTTATTTGGGCACAAGTGAAAAATCAATCACAGATAACCGTGTGTTCTTGTGATTCAGTACTTCGGATCGAGATAAATTAGATATCATGCACGACTAATAACATTTCCCAAGCTAATCCTGTTCCACATTGTAGTTATTGTATTTATTTACATCTTAACTCGATATCTTGTAAATGGTAAACCTATTAATTCTGTAATCTTGGAAAGAAAGCTGGGAAAAAAATACCCGCATATAACAAGTATGTGTTACATGGAAGAAATTAAGTTCCCTTATAATTTATTTTCTGCAAAGTTTTTCGTCGACAGAAAATTGATCAAGCGTCTATAAAGACAAGCTTCTGACTCCGGAACTCATTAAACAATTATCAACCGTGACGTATTTTACGATGACACGTCATGGTTGAGTTACGTCACGTATACTTACGCGGGGATTGCGAGGTGATCCGTGACTTGAACCACATAGGGGAGTGGATAGGGTAGAAGTAAGGAGATGTAGGGGGTCGAAGGAGGTGAGAGGGATGGGAGAGGCAACAGAGAGTGATTCATGTCTGATTAAAAAGGAATAAATCACCTTCATATACACCAACTTTTACTTAAGTCGATAAAACTCCTTCCCCCCTCACATTGCTAATTTTATATTTTCTCTGACATAAATTGCCTAATGATTATAAATACATATATTTCAATTAGATTTATTCCGGACTTTCCTGTACGTAAGTAGATTTCTATACGTATTGTACTTAGTGTAGATCTAATATATCATCTTAATTGACATAAGTTTATATATATCTACAATATAGTTTAGCTATACACGCCATGTGAGAGAATCTTTTCACTCATATTAGTAAAATTATCGTGACATCATTTTTACCGTATGTACTCTTCAAGACATAAAGAACTTTGACTTAAATTTGTTGCTTTTTTTTCAACCAGTTTATTTTTATAAAGATAACTTTATAATATAAAAGTAATATTCTGTGTCGCTGAAACCAGATATAAATTGACATATCTGGGTGCTCTTGGTGGTAACAACACTGTGAAAGCGTAGTAAAAACGCTGATTTGAATTATATCAAAATTTACCTGCCAATGGAGACAATGATGATTTTTCTACTTGTTAAAAATACATGAAAGTCAGTGATGACTTAAACATTTAAACTTTGTTCCGTATGTTTGATTTTGCTGCACATTTCACAGAGCTTTACACAGGAAAATGTTTTGTTACAAATATTGTGTACTAGAGATATGATATAATATTTGAATATATCTACCTGTAATCCCTCTCTATCATGGTATTTGATTGATGTAATATCGTTTGGCCTATTGTTTTTTTCTGCCATACTGGTGTGTCACTGTAATAAAAAAACCGCAATAGTTCATATACGTTGTGCCTGATCAACATGTTTAAATAACATATCTTGTTTGTATAACAACAATCATATCGTTTTGCATTATTTTGAAAGCATTTCACAGTATTCTGAAAAAAAAAAACCTGATGCACCCAATGGATACTTAGATTCATGAAGCAACATGTAAAAATTTTGGAGTTTTTGTTTTAACATCTTTGAAAGATATTGCAGAACACAGTTCTAATACTTGGATATTTTTACTTCCTTGTCGAAATAATACATGTGTCAAGCGAATATGTTTACAAATTGGCCTGCCACATGTGTTATGGTGCACGTCCGGTACCTGTGGCATATACACAGTTATCCATGTGGCACACGTACCTAATTACCGGAATACACACACTCACACATTCACTCTGTGTATTTGTATACAGGTACGTGTCAAATAGAGAAAACTCGGATGTTAATTAAAGGATATGTAAACATATATTTATATTTGATATCTTTATTTAATTTGTTAAATATTATACTTCACGTATGTAAATATTATGGTCAAGCCAAAGATATGTATAAACTTCATACATTTCTGTACATACCTTGGTCCTGCGCATGTGCTATACATTATCACATCCTCGATTATCAGCGCGTGTAGAATTTATTATATAAAACACGTTTTAATAATAATCCGTATTCATTTCTACCGATGAGCTAACCTCACGTTTTCTATCATATGATAAACGCTGTTCTTCGTACGGTCATTTAGGCCTAATTCAATTTTACTTTCTCTTACGTTGTCACAATCATGTTAGAATTCCAAACGATCAACACTTTTGTATTCCGAAAAGTAAACTTTAACGCGTGTTGACTTTTATAAACACTAAAACAAGTATACCTCACGTGTTACACGGTAATATCACAGATTTCTGGCTTTGGAGGTTATCTTATGCATTAGAATAATATCGGGATTTTTAGGATATTGAATTGTTATACCTAATTATCGGAGCCTATGGAAACATAACTAAGTCCTCGCCTTTGTTTTAAATACATTTACTGATAAGTAAACAAAAAAAAGGAGAAAAGAAAATGTAATTATAAATATCAAGTTTTCAGCACTTTTTTGTTCAAAATTTTGTTCCCACAAAAAATTACAGAAATAATATTATTTCTTCATAGTAAGGTTTATAGACCATCACTCTCGCGAGATTTTACGAGATTAAACTGTTAGACAGCCCCGGAGCATGTTGGATACTAATTGACCACCGGGGACATTTTACGGGTGACATACGGGATGTCAGACTTAAATGACGTCGTTACTCGGATCATTAACTTTGTCTAGATAAAATCCACCGTTATCCTATATGACATAATGGAACTGTTGTCACATAAACATTAAACAATGAAAACAAGGCACGTTACATATTATACGACAAATTTTGAATGTACTTTACCAAAATACATAATATGTTAAGAGTCGAACATCTCTCTCTCTCTCTCTCTCTCTCTCTCTCTCTCTCTCTCTCTCTCTCTCTCTCTCTCTCTCTCTCTCTCTCTCTCTCTCTCTCTCTCTCTCTCTCTCTCTCTCTTTCTCTCTCTCTCTATTGACCACAAGCACAGGTATATTTAAAAATCAAACATCTGAATAAAGCAGATCGAGGTCACACACGTGATGTCAGTAAATCAATCAACAGAGGAAATGACCAACCAAAATTAGTTTTATGTCGACGGACTTACGACTGTTATAAAGTATCTCCCATTTTCACTGGATGAAGATGTCTTAACGTTCGTATGAAGAAATTCAATTAAACTGTGTGAAATATATTTATTTGTCTAACAGGGAAAATCATTGCACTTTTCCTCGACTCGTCATATAAACAAATGAAGCAAGGAAATGATTGGTTGGGTTTACTACCCTACAATTAATTGAATATAGCCAAAGGTTATCGTTGCTCTACACTATTACAGGAAAACCGCAATTTCATAAAATCAACATACATGCTAGCTCAAAGATGATATAGAAGATTTATATACAGTACAAACGCCGGGTGCGGCGGACCGACTCCGTGTCCTGCCATTAGACTACTATAACGGCCCCGATTGTTTACTCTCAATACAAACAAGTTCTCATATTAATTTACTCCGCATTTCCTACACATCTGAAAGTACTTCATGAAATAACGTCACTGCACGCGCATATATATTTTAAGGACAAACTTAACGTTGTAAACCAACATTGTTTTTTGTTCTCATCAACCCACCTAGCTTTTGATATGTAAGGGAGAATGAGTCGGTCACAGATACAGGGAGGGGGACAGAGGGATGCGAAGGGAATAGATGGGCTGGTTTTGTCGCGACGACCACCCAGACCCGACCTAGAGGAATCGCCCCGCCCCCAGGGCGACAAGGTTAATTCTGTCGTATATTTTCTTTGAGTTGGTGCACTTGTCGAGTAGTAAAATAGGAAACGTAACCTAAGCGGGCGATATCCTTTACGTGTTTATTTTGAGGAATTTTTCCAAGATGTAGTTCTCAAGTAAAGAGCGTTATCACAGCCTTCCGATCTGATACCAACTATCCTAGCATCAGCGTACACGCATGGCCTTAGTCCAAGTGTCTCCTTCACACGTGCTTGTACTTAGCGACAGATATACAACCACTAATCACTTTTATACAAAATTAAAATTCTCGATGGCGATCTTTAATTCAATAAATCATAGTTCTTTGGTGAAAATAATCTTAATTTATTCCAAACTTAGAACGATAAATTGAAATGGACAATTCGGGAATTTTTCCGACAGGTCTCCTGCTCTTCATTAGAGCTGGCCTGTAACGAACGAAGTGGCGCTTTAATCACTATCACCATAGGATGTTTAAAACTAAACATATCGTTCTTCATCAAATACTCGAGTTTTGAACTTTAAAACAATCCCACGGGGACAGTTACAAAGAAACGCGGATACGGTAGATTGTCATTACAGGACAATATCTTCTATTCTCGACCATGTTAATTCTTTGTTAAGTTCTTATAACGGACCAACAAACCGAAAGCTACTTATCACGTACGTCTATTTGTAAAGCTATTTAAGTTACAGTTTATCGCTATCATTTACAGCAAACTTTTCCTAGCGTTATCAAATATTGCCGTAGAATTATAGTAAGTTTTTCTGTTGATTTATTTGGAGTATAGCTATTGTTTCAGTGATCTTTACTGTTTTGTAACCTTGATGAATATTCAGACAAACAGAAGCTGATGTTTTCTAATTAAAAATTACATTTATGTTGTAGCAGGACATCGCACGCGCATCACCTAGCGACCCATAAACAATTACGTAACATGAGAGCACGTGCTGGATTAAAGTGGAACCGTTGGAATTAATTGGCATATCGAAGGATTTCAAACTTGTCACCCATTCCGCATGTGTAAAATGCATATGTTGCGCACATCATGGACATGAAAAGAGTGACGTAATGCACGGAATTAACAATACAAAATACAATATATATGTATGTTCTATGCACGTGCAAGTTCTCCCAGATACTTTGGATAAGGCATTATATTGCTATTTTGGGAAGGCTTGCAGTATGCTTGGAGATCTGGCATTTTACCTGGAATCGTGTAATTTCATGTTGAATTAATTAAATGTTCGTATCAAGACATCTCCCAAAATATATTGTAACATATATTCAATGATAAATTCTTGTTAAATATTACCTTAATTTCACAGGTTTTTAATTATTCTTCATTGTAAAGAATGATAATCTGTTCTGTAAGACAAATCACGGCCATTATTTGTTGGTTACTTTTGATTATACATAGACACTATACAGTGATAGCCTCGGTCCTACGAGATTACAAGCATTCGCTCATTGTTATCTCTATTTTTTAAGTTTATGGAGCCATGATAAAAACCGACAAAAGTTATCTAGGGTACACGATTTTTATGCCATTTTGTGAAATTGATATTGATATCACAAATCTCTTTCGAAAGAGTTGTCCAGGTAGTGCTATCAGGTATCGCAATCGCCTTTCAACTGGACTTCCTGGCTTCGATTCCACGAGCGGACGTCACACATTCGGGCCAACAGAAATGCTTAATATATGTGTAAAAAACTTGTTCCTTAATTGTTGTAAAATAAATAGTTTATTCTTAATTGGAAAGTGAAAAAAGAACAATTTTCCTGTCTTTATTTAACAGACTAACTTATAATCTCGCTGTGCGTTACGAGGAAATTTGAGCTATAACGATCTCATATCGAGGCTTTGTTCGTCCAGTAACGATAGAATGGCATGGTTATCTACTTGTAATAATGTAATGCCTTTATTGTGTGATAATCTGCTTTAAACATGGTAGTTTATTGCCAATGACGTAACAGTTTGTGTGTTTTTGTGTGAGAGCCTGTTACAGGACAGGTTCCTTGTGAAATCAGGACTATCACACAATTCTCTCTCTTTCCGTTTCCTCCATACAATAGCTGTCACACAAAGCTCACTACTTTCCTTACTCTATCTGATAATGTACATCTGTTTCGTGTAAATCTCGTACATTTACGCGGCGTTTCTGTGTTCCTACATTTCTGTTATCTGTGAAATATACATAATCTATTTCTATATATTCTCTTACACGATTCTGTGTCGGAATTAGAAAGAAACAATAGCATATCGACATAGCCGTCACGCTTTCAAACGCGCATGCCCGGAGGACGGTGTTGATTTCATCCGAAGATCCACAAAGTCATTCGGATAACCTCGTTTGTAACTGAAGATGTTTTGTCGCCTGCGGTGCAAATAAAAATATTTGTGTCTGTTTCACTTAGCGTGCGTTTGATGAGCCACACATGAGAAGAGTATACATTGTAGATATTATCAATAATCACAGAACTCCGGTTAATCTGATCATAGCTAAGGCGGCCTCTCTTTCAGATTCTATCGTTTATTGATGTAAGTGATGCATATCATATCATTTAATTGTTTAACCTTTACATCAGATTGTCAACATATACACAATAAAAGTACAATTTACAGATACCGCTGATGTTTAATGATCGGGTAAATTATGACAAGTCGACAAGAGTTCCTATTTGTGTTGTAGTTGTTACTTCGGGAGTGTGACAAAACAACATCGCTTTAATAAAAACAAGGTCATTGCTACAGATACGTGTGAAAAGGACGAAAGGAAATACCCTTTTTTCAGTGTTATCTTCATACAAATCGATAGTTTTACTCGAATAACACGAGAAGTGATAAACAAACGCCTTGACTTAGCCCTAAAAGTATGCTTAATTGATAAAATAAATAGGGATTGTACTTTTGTACTACGGAATGTGGGAAAACAAATACAGGAAAAGACCTTGTCTTAGTAGGGAAAATAACTCGTTACTGCCCTAGTGAGAATCAAACACTTAAATGTTTATGTTTCCTTTGGAGTATATCAAAATATTATAATTTCCAATAAAATTATGAAATATGTATCGTAATTATCAAACCAATGATCACTCTAGACATTAATTTGTTATTATTATACCTATAGTCTGTACAAACAAACTCAAACAATGTATTTATTAGTACTTTGCTTACGGATCAATATTAATGAGCAGATTTAGATCCTCTTTTTTGTCCGATGAAAAAATCAAACCATTTCTAATCATCACATTCTAAAATTAAACCATTGACCTAATACGTAGTCTCATACTGACTGCGATACTGGAAATAAACTGATGTTCGAATGCCGTTAGCAATAACCTCAGTTTGTATCAGGGATATGTTATTTACACAGTATCATCATGTGAGTTCAACACAGCAGTGTAAGGCGGAGACAAAGTTAGCGGAGGGCGGCAGGTACTTCGGTAAGTTATATGGGCGGGGTCGGTGGTAGGAAGGCAGGTACAACGATAAAACAACGCCGAGAAAAACATGAAACATTGAGCACTTGCTGTGGGAACTATACAACAAAAAACATATAAGTACAAAGCCTATCTGTTCAGTGAATAAACTTGAGGTGAAACACAGATCAAAGTAAACGGCCAATTATTGGGACGGAGGGGGAGGTCTTTGTATATGTCAATATCAGTCCCGACCCCTATGGGCGCTGATAGGGACACACGGGGGTCAGGGTGATACGACCTCTCCCTCAGTAGGACCGTCTTGGGAAATAGACATACTATACTGCCACCCACAGCGGCTCGTTGGCGTGGACACACGTGGTCAGTGAACAATCCAGGCACGTGTACAGCTAGCACTACATCGTAGCACATTTACATTTTAAGATAAAAGTAGAAATGTGTCTGTTAAAATAAAAACAGATGTAATTTAGGCCTCCATACTTTATTTGAAAAGTATATATTTTCATGGGTGCAAGTGCATTGTCACGTGCATAATATGACACATATAAATAGTATCCGTGTATATGTAAACATTAAGCTGACCTAACTTTTATAACCGCTAGAACAGAAGTTATTCAGTGGTCAAGTAAATGTAAACCGTCATTTATGAGGCATAAAATCGGTTAGGGTCGATCAGTTGATCTATTGGTACCGATTTACATCAATTAACTGCTGTTAGATCTACGAGTCACCGTCACACAATGTCACTATTGTATTCAAGTCTGTATAGTTACGGAGGTCGCGTGTAATCAGAAAGTTCTGACCACATTGTCCAAAATTTTGACGATGTGGTCAGGCGATGTCTATGTTGGATTTTTTATCATTAAAACTATGATTAAAAGTAGTATTAGCATTTGAAAAGTTTTTTTTTAAGTACTGAGGAAAGTCGATTCAGGCAATTTTCGTTAAATAAACTAGGTGATTTCGCACCTGACAAAACATCACATGCAAACAAACAAACAAACAACATTAAAAGAACTACCGGACATGTAAACATATGTTCTCCGTGTCATTATGTTAGATCTTAGTCAATATTTACATACATACATATGTAATGTGACAATAATAGGCTACAGGCCATACACAAAACGGCCTGATCATAACTGACCGATTACAATCTGTTAGATTTGTTTACATTACTTTTATTATTCCGCTTCCGGCCAAGTTGAAAATGTCCTTTAAAAAGCACTAAAGAACATGGCCTGATATGTCGTATTCCTGACTCTGTTCAAATTCAATATCAGCGTTTTCAAAACTTTCTAAAATATTATAAGCAGCATTTAGAATCGTGGCTGAGGTCACGTGATCGGAATCGATAGATTTGATATATGGCTTTTGAAGTTGCTTATTTATCTGAAAAGAAGTCGTTAAAAAAGCTTACAAAAAACAAAAAGAAACAAAACACTTCTCAATTAAAAATCGGGAAAACTTATTCGCATTCAAGAACTAAACTTCACAAAAATGTTTCAGTTAAGTTATTCGTATTTAGGTAAAAAAATCTCGTATTTTGTAAAAGCATTTCACA